TTAAAATCAGCTCTGAGAGATGTTTTAGAGTTTGAATTTTCTTTTAAAGCCAAGAGCTTCTTAAAAAGTAATCACTACCTCCACATTCACCCCATTTACTAATATTATCAAGCCCTGAGAAATGAATGCCTTGATAATTTCAATGGGCACAGAAGCTGTCACATATTATGTGTGATACTTACTGCTTATAACCAACCTCCTGTGCTGCAAATCAAGATTATGAGCATATATTTGCTCTGAGGGGGACAGAACTGAGTAATCAGTTCTAACCAACTGGCTTTATCACAGCATTTACAAAACTAGTCATTAATTAGTAATAATTTTGTTGCTAAAAAAGAGCCATTAGAACAGTATTGGAGGACACATTACAAATAATTTACAAACATTCCAAGTATAGAGTGCTAAAGCAACAGCTTACAGTATTTGCAATACTACTACAAAATGGTTTTAAAAATATTTTTACTTAAATAATGGGAGAAATATAACCCTAACCACAAAGCACACACACAGATAGGTAGGTGCTAACTACAGCTGTTTTAAGAATAACAGTTCTTCAAATCCAAAGTTTTCTTCAGCACTTAGGATTTCACAGTCTGCTACTTCTGTCTGCCAGAGACCGAAACCGAATTCATTTTAATGAATGAATCAAGGATTTTTTCCTTGAGAAACTTGTACTTTCAAAACCAATCTTTCTCTGCAAGTCAAGTTGTAAAATACTATGTAGTTTTTCTAACTAAAGTTCCTTTTTTTCATCTGAAACTATTTTCTGAGTACTGCTAAGCAATACCAAGCATCTCATTCCTCCGAATTGCAATTTCTTTCACTGTTCAACATGTAACTTGACCCCACTGCCCACCTGAAAAAAAAATAACCCATTCTTCAACCTAAAACTGACATAGCTGTTACAAAAATCTTGCTGTCTACTGCCAACACATCTCCTGCAGCAAGAAAGCTCACAACAAGCACCATCCCTTTCCCACCATTTACTTCAGAAAACTATTCACACCCCCTTTAAATCTAGCACTTGACTTTGCTGGGAGTTTCTGACAATCTGCAAAACAGTTCTCCCACTATGACCAATTCTGAACAGTCAATATGAGAAAATTGTGGTGAAAATAGTCCACTGCACACAGATTTGTAGATGATGAATCAAAATATGCAAATATCCTGCTGCACTGCAGTGCAAGGTGAAGTTTCATGATCACTCTGCAGAGATCTAAGTGTGTCCTGCTCCTGAGCAGGGCAAGAGCACCCACCCTCAGCTTCCAGAGACACGTCCCTGCCTGCCTCCCTGTGCCTGCTCTAGCGCTTGTGTAACACTGTGAGTGGGACTAGAAAAATGATCTGACTGAAAACCAATGACCTCTTTTGAGTGAGCCCATACTTCAAGTGGTTTAAAGTGATCCCCAAGTTGTTCCCTTCACCTTTTTTACCAGTGAAGACAGAGAACTAGGAAGTCCTAAACTATTTGCATAGTCACAGAATGTGGCTCTTGTTAGAGACACTCTACAGAAGTATGAAGATTTGGCTGCAAGTAGGGTGGGCAGGTATAAAAGTAAAAATCAAAGAACTGCAGAAACCCTTTATAACTTAGAATATTTAAGTGAATGGAAGAGACAGAGTGAATTTTGTGTATTCATATACAGAAAACAAGACAAAAAAGCTTTAGAAAAAGAGATAATGAAAACCTTTCAAAAGAAATACAGTTTTGTAACAGATCAAAGTGTGTAAGTGACCTCTTTCTCCATCTCTCCACTTTGCAGGATACAAGACTCATGCCACCCCCACAAATAAATAAAAAAGCAATACATCGGAGGACAAGACACTGAGTGTGTCTCAAGGTGGTGGTGAGAGAAATGCTGTTTGCCAGTGCTCCACACCACCCACAGTGGCACAACCACTCTGTGAGAAGTGCTGAACAGCAGATGAGGTTGGACATTTGAACTGTAGCTTGCTACAACAAAACTAGCAGAATTCAAGCCTGCAAACCTCCAGCTACCAGCTGGAAAGCAATAAAAATGTCTACAGATCATTTCACCTATGCAGAAAATCTTTTCTAGATCCCCAAACTGGAGATCAGCCTCATCTTCAGGCTCACCAGAGTTCATCTGGCTGTCCTGCCAGGCAGCAAATGGCATAATGCTTCTCCAATGTGCTTTGTTGTAAAGTTATATACAGAAGCAGGAGAAAATAGCAGGGAAAGTGGCAGCACCCACAAGCAGGAGGTGGCTGGAGGAGGGCCTGCACATGGGACATTACTCCCATAAGAACCAAAAGTAGTGGTTTCCTCTATCCAAGGCTTTCTGTTGTCTCAGAGCACTCACCTTGCCTGCGTGTTGCTGGATTGAGTCCAGTTGTCAGGCAAGGCAGGAATCTCAACTGACAAGAAAAAAAAAAGGCTTTCTAGTGTATCTATTTGCAATTTTTTTTTTAACTCTACTGATTTAGGACCAGTTTTTATTTTATTCCTGAACAAGAAATTAACATCCTCCTTCATGTATAATAAATCCCTCCTTTTAAATAATCATGTCTGCAAAACAAACGGTGTGCTTTCTGCCTGGTAATACACAATGCAACCACCAAAGCACAGCCAGCAGTCATTTCTCTCCAGCTGAGCTACAGGAAATGAAGTTTTATCTCCAGCTACCTATGAGCACCTCCTAAAGAAGTAAAGGATCCAGAAGTGCAAGACAGTGGGACTCTAAGTTCTGTCAGCTTCATGTGGGAACTGAGGACAGTAGACATCTCTCAAGTTCAGAACCTCCTAAGATTAAACTTAATATTTCTGCAAAAGATATGTATCAGTTGTCTGGTGAGTTCTTTGTGGTGGTGTTTTATTTTAAACCTTTAGTAAATGCACCTTCATATCCTGCTATGTTAACCACACAGAGAGTGGCAATGAACATGATGCATCATGAGATTCAGCTCACCACTTGCCTACACAAATCGAATCACAAATGTCAGGACAGAGATCTTTCTGTGTGTATAAAGCTTACAGTCATGTCTATTTCTTGTGACATTACACAAGCATATTTACTGATTACAACCTAAAGAAGTTACAGCTACAGAGCAGTTTCAGTTTGTTGACAGTGCCTGCCCACATGTGGTCAAAACAACACGCAGTTCAGGCTACTGGTAGATTTTATGTTTAATACAAAGTTTTGTAAAGCAGCCTATGCTAAATTTGAAAAACTTTATCATCTCTGACTCACTGAGATCTGGGTCTCTTTGTTGGCTGACTTACTAACCTTTAAAAAAATCCCTAGCCTTTTTTCTTACTGCTCTCCTGCAGAGGTCCCTGGAGTGGTGCGTGGGCTATTGCACTCGAATGGAGAAATTGGTCAGTGGAGTCACAGTCTATAAAGGGAAACTCATGAATGTTCCCTTGTTTCCCTCTCTTTATGTTTGCTTTTGCAGAACACAACAAAACATGTTATCTTTAAAGCCTTCTTTGCCCTCTGTCCAATTTGACTGAAATTGATCTTTTGGTGATACATCAGCTGTTTGCATAAATTCTGTTCCCAAAGCAAATCAGTCTAGAAAGACAAAGACTTTTTAAAAAAAAACAAACAACAAACCCAAAAAAACCAACCCAGAAGTACAAGAAAGTACGGGTAACTTATCAAACCAATAAACCCCACTGCATGTGCTGCTTCTCCTTGAGAGAAAAATGAAAGAAAGAGGAACAAGATGATGAATGACAGCTAGTTACATTTACTTTGGAACTACAGAGGTTACTAAGTTAACTGTGGTGGGGAGTCCAATGCAACATCATCTGTTCGGCACCTCTCAAAGGCTATGCAGACTGGATCGTGAGTATCCTTTACTGCCAGAAGTGTTCCAGGAGATGTATGAAAATCCAAATGGAAAAATCCAATACTTGTTATAAATAATAAAAAAACCCCAAAAACCCTGACTGATTTTTCTTCCTCTGTTCATAAATTGAATATGTACATTGGAATAAAAACAGAAAAAGAAAACAAGAGTGAAGAAAAAGGCCAGATATTTTAAATTGCTCCTCCTATTAATAGCACTTCCTGTTTTCCATTTTGGCCACACTTGTTTCTCCAACTATTCCGCTTATCCAGCTGTAGGTTGTTAAGATTGTATCTTGCAGCTATTATGTCTCAGAGAAAATGCTTGGATAGGCAGTTTAGGGGTTTGGTTTTTTTTCTATTTTATCTATGGGATGGTTTTGTGGCTTTCAAAAACAAGTGAGACTATTTTCAGTCGCAAAAAGATGCATCAAACCTGCAAAAACAGTAGCTTCACTGAACAGTTGAGGTTGAACAGCTTCTTCATATGCCTTGAAGTACAGGAGAACATTTCACACGTACGCTTACACAACATGCTTTTGAGATCACTTTGTTTTGAAGTACACTAAATTCGAGAGGCATCTATGCCCACAGACAGCTTACCCCATCATCAGTCAAATTACGTTGCAAGCAATGCATTAAGGACAAAATTGTTACATGAGGTGCCCAGTTAAGCAAGGTCTCCCTTTAAGATGCAAGAAAAGTGTCTCAGTGACATTAAGATGGTTACTTTTTACTACATTTACTAGAATGTACTGCTCCCTCTTGTTCCCTTAAATTTTTTCTTATTTCTTATACAATGGCCTTAGAGATCAGTCAGAAGGTAGAGCTTGCAGAGGTCAAGCTGTGAAATTCAAATTTTAGTGAGTCAGAGACCATTATCTACATATACAAGCTTCTCTAAGGCATTCTTTCCTCAGAACTCATTAAAATAGTACATATAAAAATAAATTATTCTCTGGTTAGTTAATTTGACACAATTGGAACTATGTTACATATGAAGCTTAAAAATAAAAACTCAACAGCTGATGAGCTTGGCACGACCAAAAAGTAGGTGGGAAGCTGCAAAGAGAACACAAACAGAGCACCAGGCAAATATGTCCACTCGGCAGACAAAATGATACACACTTCACAGACTACGTCCACTAACAACATTCACAGGAGCAAAACAAACACAGACTTTACCATCATATCGGCTGGGAGAATCACACGCTTTCTGAGGGGTTGCCACTCGCAGGAATATCTGTTGCCTCCATGAATGCCGCCGAGTCTTTACAGGGCTGTCTGCACCAATGGCCTGCGGGCTGTGTTTGGATTCATAGTCGCTAAAATTATGGAACACAGAATGGCTTGTGAGTAGGTTACCTGAATCTGCTAGCAACAGTGGCACAGTCTTCAATGAATACAGTAACACGAGCCATCAACTAAGGAGTGAGTGCAGTGCGCTGTGCACATGCTGGGTCAAGCCTTAGTGTTAGGTATGTGAAGCTTGCTTTGTGGCAGCAGGCTTATACAAGGCTGCAAACACCAGTCAGGTTCACCAAAAGGGGCTGGCAGCTCTGTGCAATCTGCTTTCTCCAGTTTTAATTAATTTTCACCTTTCTTTGCAGCAGTGTATTAAACACAATGCATTAAAGACACATACACCATAATGTATCTTGACCATTCTGCTATTTAAATGCCATCCACAAAATCTAGTGATTATTCATAGGAGACAAAGAATTGCTGATGCTTTTTATCAGCACACATCAAGGAGCTTTATAGACACCAACTAAACTTCCAACCTTCTGTGAAATGGGTACATAATATATTCCTTCACAACACAGACTTGGAGCAAAACTTTTAACTTTTGTGTTTGCAAGTTACCATCTGAAATAAGCAACAGACTTGGAAACACTGCCCAGGAACCTTGGATGTTACTCCTTTGATGTAATCCACACACTACCTACAGGGGTTTTTATTCAGAATATTAAATGAAATAGTGAACAGCAATGCTGTTTTCCTATTAAAAATCCCACTAGTATCCTCCACGCATTACATCTTTAAACTATTCATTGCTTTATTCCAGCCATTGCCTAAAAGTTGCATGAGTCTTTGTTGAAGCTGGAAGGGATAAATGAACTTCAAATAGCTCTGGCAGCAGCTGGGAGGAGCATTTTACAGGTCATCCTCTCCTTCCAATTTCATGACACTGACATTGCTTAGGATGAACCATGTATGTTCTCTTCACTGAAAACTGCTACTACAGTCCTTTGGCAGGAATCGTCACAGAAGTACATAGACGGAAGTTGCATGACCATTACAACATCACAATGGCTAAGTTCTGCAGTCTTAATGGGAGAGGAGTCTGGGATAGCTCCATCCTTTTGACAGCAATCACATGCAGAATGCATGCAAGTGAACTGTTGCACAAATCAGGTTTTGCAAGTGCAAGAAACATTTGAAATATTTCAGACAAAGAAACCTTTGAAAATACAGTTTTACCTCCAGGCTTTAATAGAGAACCCTACCTTGTGCTCCTAAAGTCAGAGGTGTTATTTTCATCTACAGGAGCCAGAAATTTTAAGAAATTTGGCACAGAAGAGGAAGAATGAAGCTTTTTCCTTAAGGCAGTACGGTAGGAGATGCTGAGAGTGCAGTTGGGAAAAGTATAGTTTAGAACAAAGAAGTATAAATCCACAGAATAAAAATAATACATACTGCTAAGTTTCGAACAAAAAGCAGCTAAATCCCAAAGCCCCGAATATCAAGGAAACCAGAGTCAAACCTGAAACTGCTAACAAAGTGCTACATTGAAACACATATTTGTTTGGGCAAACGAAAATGTTCCAGTATAAACAAACATACTTCCAGTAAAGTTATTATTCTTTGCTATGTCCCAAGATTTTTAGTGCATGTTTCAAGTAAATTCCTTTAATCTAATAAGAACTGATGCCAACATCATTCCACATTTACTTAAATATCAGTTTCAATGATTGACTAAGTTTGGGGGAAAAAGTTTGGAAAAGCTGACACTGATAACCATTGTTGGCAAATGAAAATTAAGACTTTAGCTAAAACCATTTTGTAAAGCATTAACAGGTTTTTATACAGACAAGCTTGGAACTTTTCAGTTAAAAGTTGAACCTTCTGACTGATCATTTAGGATTGTGGTGCTATTTATGCAACAGACAGGCACACTAATCAAATTTCATCAAGAGTCATCTGGCCAACATAATTCTGCCCTTTCTTTTAAAATAACAAGCCCCCAACATACTCAGGAGAAGGTTAATAGAAATGTGAGAACAACTCAGGTAACAAAAAGTTTCTGCGTGGAATGAAAACATAGAAAATTACTTAGCTGATGATACTAGAAGACCTTTTCTCAGATGACTACACAAAAACATGAGAATTTACTCCTGCAAAACTAACTTTAAGAAAGAACTGCTTCTGATAAGCCATAATGATATATCTGGATAGCATTTAGCACTGTCTTCTGAAGATGTGAATGGGATGGGAGAATACTCTGGGATAATCACTAGTATGAAGTGAAGCTGTTCTTTAGTAGCTGGTACTGAGCACAAAGAAGATAAGGCTGTAGCATCGTGTGCCCTGCAAACAGGTTTCACTTACAATTGCATTGTAAATCCATCACACTTACACAGTAATTTCACTTACAGAATACAATCAGCTTAGGCAGTTTGAGTTTATTGATTTAAACTCATTAACACATTTGATGTCCCTATCAATTTCCGTTTTCAGTCTTGTTGCTTAGAGGTTCAATATGTTATGCCCTTAAATGACAGGGAAAGGGAAGGAGAAATTGCTACCATGTGTGCAGAACCATTACCAAATTTACTTGGAAAAATCTACTTTTGAGAATTTAACCTTCGGGATTCAAGCAAGTCTTATAAAAATGAATAGTACAGAGGACATTCTACACTCACATTTCCTCCCCTAAGCCATACCATACTTCTGAGGTGAAGCTAAATTAAGAGAGATGCTAATTAGTTGTCAGCAAAAACAACTGAAGGAACTGGTGAAACAAGGTTCTCAGTTGAGTATTTTCTCAGGATTAGAAAAATCAGCACCATGGGGAAACAGGAAACCTTCACCCAAGAGAACAAAATGAAACAATAAACACCAGCAATAAAAATTGCTTGCCAATGGCCAGTGCCTGTTGACAGTGCTTCCCAGGACATTTGGTCTCATTAACCTTTTGAGCTACAACAAGCAGTTTTAGCTCAAGGCAGTTAAGGAGTTTCACGGGTAAGATTTTTAGGGAGATCCTTATTTCAGGTTCTCAAGGAAATGATGGGTTAATGTCCTTTTCCCAATGTTCTCTATATGTATTTTTGTTCTAAGAAAGGAGGCACAGAAAAGTATCATTTGATATTGCTCAAAGTAACCAAGACAAATACATGAGCTGGTGGGTTGGGATTTTTTGTTTGTTTGTTCTTGGTTTGTGGCTTTGGGGGGAGTGGGTTCAGGTTTTTTTTTGTTTGTGGTTTTTGGTTGTTTGTGGGTTGTGTTTTTTTTTTTATATCGGCTCTCCACAGTCCTGCTATGTCTTGGCCCCTTTAGCTAATTTAGTCAATTTGTCTTTAATGTCAGGCACAAAAGAATATTAATATGTTTCTGTGTTACCATGAACAAAGTAGAACAGAACTGAATGATTCAGGAGGGACAGAGTGAGCTGGATCACAGGTTCTTGGCAACTTGTCCCTCACACAATTTAAGTAGTGCTGCTGTCTGCTGCATAACAACAAGTTGCTTTGGAGCAACTGGCTCTAAAGAAAGTCATGTGTCCATTCATCTGAAAGAATTTTATTATTTAAAACTAAATTATGTAAATAGAAGCTCTACATTCAGTAGCAGAGCAGTTAAAGATTTCCCTCTTGCATAAAAAGCTACCACCTTTGGTCTATATTGAATTATATTAATTATTTACACTATAGAGCTTCATATTTATGACATGGTAAAACAAACCCTACCCCAAACTATGTACAGATGCTAGCTCACCTCTTTTGTGCAAAATGCCCACTTGGTTCTCCACTTGAATTATGCCTCAGATATTTAAAAAAGTTGGGTGAAGAGGCCGAGGGATTAAGACGAGCTAGAGTAGGAGAACGTGCAAGTTGACCAGAAGAACTTTTAGGTTCACCGACAGATGCATTCAAACCGTTATAGTGGGATTCCAACCAGAGCAATGGAGTTGAGGTAGCACAAAGAACAAAACACAGTAAGAGAGGAGAGAAGAAAAAAAAAGTGAAATCCCTTCTCTAATCTTTGAAAGGGACCTGGCGTATACAAATGAGCCATCTCCTATGTTTTTCCCAGTCAATGCAGTAACTTAAGAGGCTGAACATTTTGACCTAATCAGCAAAGCCCCAAATACACACTTACAGGCTTCAGCAAGGCATTTCAGCGTATGACTAAATTTAACCACCCAAAACACCATCACTAACACACCCCTTTCTTCTCCCTCAGATGTGCTTCCCCTTCGTTTCTATGATAAAGTCAGGCATATGACCAAGAGTTCTAATGGATGAGAAGTGAAATGCTACATGAAGAACTAAAACAATTTATGAATTGAGGTAAGCTGTTCAAAAACACTCATAAAACACACAAGACTTGTTGAAAGTCTATCATTCCAGTGATTTTTGAGAATTTTAAGTATGCTTTTCTTCTACGTTTTCAATTTCCCCTGGTTTTGTACATTTGATATGAAAGGTAAGCAACAGGGATTTATTTTTGGTTCGAGTTATGTGAGGGAGCAGGCATGCTCAAGTCTTACTAAAAATTACAAATAGAAATAACCAAGGAAATTAAGAATATACTTAATTTCTAGCTGCATTCGTATAGTAAGATAAGAACTGACTGAACAAGCAGCTACAAGCATCAGGGCAACTCTCATGGAGATAACAGTCCAACACCACAAGTCCTAAACTGCACTACAAAAACATTCTAGTATTTTAGAAGTAAAAAGGTTCAAATAAGGGACAAGACAACCCAGGTTATGTCTCCTTTCAAATACTATAATTATCTTTTTTTCACTGTCATTACTTATTTCAGGCATGTTCATTTATTGCCCTGCCTCCTGCAGGTAAAAATGAGCTGGAACACATAAAGTTTTCCTACTGTCTAACTTGTGTAAACGAGCAGTTTTGGCAGCAAAACAGAAGTCTACATACAGAAATGTTTCCATAGTAATTGGAAAAAGTCAGATAGAGGGAGGGAAGAAAGCTGCCATAAAGTTAAGAGCAGACTTTAGAAATGTAGAGGCAGGCTTTTCAAGGAGGATAGCTTGAAGAATAGTAGCAGGAAGGTAAGCAGTAGGTTGTTTTTGTGAGTAAAATCTACATAGGCTCATTGAAAAGCTAGACAGGAGCCTCACGTCTGTCAACAATTAGGCAATTTATGTCAATTTTGTGTGTTATTTTAAAGTCACATATGAATTCACCAACTAGTAAGGTTTTCAGCATCACAAATGCCACTGGACTTTTCTCTATAAACAGACAACAAGAAGTGGCATTTATTTATACTGCTTGCAGATCTAAACAACAAAATTTAATGAACATTGTTTAAAAAAATATAATTGAACCCCTTAGGAGCAATCCTATGTTGAGCTTACACTTAGTCTTGTGACGTATACTGTGGAACTACACATCTCAAGTTTTCTCTCCCCTGTGGAGCACACCGGGTTGGAAGTGTTTTTAAACAGACTACCTACAAACCTCCAAAGAGTGACACACTGCTGCTATACATTTCTTATCCATTAAGAGGACATACCTGGTATGCAATTATCATCCCCAAATATGCCCCAACAAACAAAATCATAGCCTGCTTTTAATAAGTCTTACTTTCTTTTGTGAGGAGTCTCTGTGCTCACTGAGTGATACCTCATAAGTTTCCTCTGCGGAACAGACGGTGATGTTTCAACAGGTCCCAGAGATTCCTGGCTTTCTGTTGGCAAATGACTCAGTGTGTTTGCTCGCCTCCGAAAGCTTTGCTGAGGTAACATAACAGACTGCTCAATAGGAGAATCATCTGCGTCGCTGGAGAGATCACCCACTGATCCACTGGTCTTGACAGCGTTTTCTGTAGGAAGCGTAGGAAGTCTGTCTTTCTGCTTTTCACACAGTGGTGGTTCCTAGCAGTGCAAAAAATAAGGTTATCAATACGTGGGTTTTAAAATTAATCTTTGAGGTTGCAGTCCCATGTCATTATTCACATTCCACAGAGACCTGCTTCAAACTTGCACATTTTTATCATGATAGCTCAAAGAAAGAACCTTTGATGTTTTATGTCTTTGTTATTAACCATTTAGGTCAACAAATCATAGTCTCCATTTTACAGAGAAAAAGTGATTTTGAGAGTAAATGTGTTTTACAGTATGTTGAATACAACTCAAAAAAAATGGTGTCAGAACAAACAGGTGGGTCAGGTTTGGGTAACAGTGATAGCAATGAAAAGAGTGTCATTTCAGAGTACTGCGTATTTAGCACCCCATCTAACAATACAATATTCCTCTTGTCAGTCTGAAGATTCACACAAAGGGCTTTAATCCTATGACTTAGATGCCTGTTTCAGTCCAAAATCACCAAGGCAGTGGCTGATCCAAGAGGCTGCACAGGAATAAAGACACACTGTATGGATCAGCAAGTGGCAGAACTCTTACAGGTAGGAAGAAAAAGACATACCTACTCCCTTTATGATACTGTTTTTATCATACTGTTTGGATGTTCTGGGGTTTATTTCTTTTCACACACAATCAGTTAGCTTGTCTACTCCCAAAAATTAGTCAAAACAAAATGCAAGATGTTAGAACAGAACAGTTATGTGAGCAGTTGATAACCACATTTCACATCTGACTCGTCGTTTCAGGGAATATTATCTGAAGTTTCTAAATATGTACATTCACTCCAGGCTTTACTTACTTTACTTGTGCTGCTTAAGGTACTGGACATGGAACTGTCCAAATCCACAGCACCAGAACTGTCCAGCGGACCTCTGGCTTTACTGCCCTGTAGAGATAACGCACACCAGTGGTTAAGATTGTAATATATGGGGCATACCAAAGAGATTTGTGTAGCATAGTCAGAATCTGTAATTTTCAATGACAGTATCAAATTTAATTTCCTAAAATGCCCAAGAATAGCCTTTGCCCCTATGAGAAATGGATGCTTCATTCAGGACAGTCTCTGACATTTTAAAGGATCCTGTGGAATTAAGGAATTCTCATGGGCCATGATGTGCTTTCCATGATACGTACATAATCACATATTGCACGCACGTACTATAACTACTCTTAAAAGTACCTTCTGTATTCCAAACAGGAAATTTTCACACTAGGTACTTCTTAACAAGCTACAAAGAAACAAAAAGGCTGTCTACTACAAAGGACTTAAACCCATATAAATTTAATACACAGCACAACATAGTTTCTGGTATTATCATTTCAATGCCTACAAATCAGAAAGTCTAAATATTTTTGTATAATCTGTTCAACAATATTTTTTTATAACTTGTTCAACTAATGTTTTTATGTAGCCAAGAGAAATATCAAGAAACTTACTGATGGATTCTTATGTGCTAACACAACTATGGAACTTGTATCTTCCTAACCTTAAATGGTATCATTTTTTTGTGTTCTGAAGTGAAGGCTTATGTTCTCTTTGATTCCTGGTAAAATATAAAATGTTGTCATTATCTACAGTAGCGACTTGTCTCCTTGAAGCTCAGACAAAATGTTTTGCCTCAGATCTGATCAAAATCAAGAATTTCCAGCAAAACAGCCATGACAGTGAAAATACAACCACTATATAGCTGTGCTCTAGAAATGCTGGCTGGGAAGTAATGAGGAAAGATACTCAACTAAAAGTCCTCCCTATATGCATAATTCTAACAAGGAGAACATGCTTTTCCCATCATTTGTTCCATGGGAACAGGTTAGATAAGATGTCTGAAATAAGCTTTGAAAGCCTCGTTTTGTCACTACAAGTTGCATGTCTATGAGCCAATAAAACTGTACTAGATCTTGCTTCAGTTTAACTGTTTGCTGATGAGAAATGAGAATGCCCAATTTTGTCTCTCGTATTTGTTTTTTTGGCATTCTGTCACAACTCTTTTTTTTTTTTTTTTTTAAAAGAAGGTGTGATTTTTTTAATCCTTTGTCAAGCAAGTCTTTCCAAGCTTCCTGTTATTTTCCTCAGACTTTTTCCATGCAGCACAAAACAAAGAATATTTGTATGAGAAGACACTCTAACAGGTTTAAGTAGTGCTTAAATAGACATCTGATTTTTTTTCTCAACCGCTGCTGTATACTTTCAGTAGATATTTTGAACCATCTGTTCATGACATTTTCCCAACATGTTTTCTTGGGGGATCACTATCATTGTTTACAAAGAGTTTTATCTGATGTGATATTGCATAAATACCTTCATAGTCTTAGTGCCTTCTTCACACTCCTCGCCTTCAAATAATCTCTAGCATTTAAAAGTTCAGATGCCCCATTATTCATCAGTTCTGTGTCACTAATAAATATTGTCTCATTAGGAATGCTTAGTCAGTTCCCTAATAATTTCCTTCTACATAAAGAAAAGTGAACACTTATAATTACTTTTAAAATTTTCTAAATCTGAAAGAGAAATAAAACAATGGTCGCTTTTCATAAGAGCTCATGCTCAACTTAAATATTAATTTTTTGAAATGCATATATACACTATTTCTTATCTAGCAATTAGTTCTCTTCTTCCAGGACTTAGTATTCTCTCTACCAAAGTCCTGCTTTGTTTTGTGTCCTTCTAACATGTACACTCAAATATTTTTGTCATTGTGCCTTTAATAACCACTTGTCTACAACAAATAAAGATATCAAATATGACTTTTCTATCATTCAAATAAATAAAACAATGAAATTATGTTCAGAGGCAAGAAACATGAAGATACTTACACGTGATAAAATACTTTCAAATGATTCTGTCAGAGATCTTTTTGCTTTGTTCTTTAACATATCTAATCTGAATCTTGGAGCACTGCTGGGCACCTCATTTACAGCATTCTCAGCAGAGGGCTGTGAAGTCTGCAAGTGTTTAAAAACAGAAATGTGAAATACTCAACAGCATGGAGTAGAATCTCAGTGAACAGCCTGAATACTTCCGTAACTTGAATCAATACTTTCTCCTGGTGTCCTTGGCTTTTCATGCCTTTTTCTCTACCGATACTTATACTGAAATTTAACAAACTATTCTAACATAAGACCAGGAAATCTCTTAAAGGAAATGTGTTGAATGTAGTAGCATGCTTCAGAAGAATTGCCATTTTGACAGGGATTTATGGCTGTGTTGACAAATTTTCCTTGACGCCAAAGTAAAATTGTACAAATTCTAAATGTTTAAGTGTAACAGATTAGAGGTTTCTCATGGATTTACTTTTCTTCAGCCAAGAAATTAATCAAAATCGAGGAAGCTCATAATTAACAAGAACTCTCAAGTGTCTCCATTATATTGAGGCTTTCTAAGGGCCAGGAAGATGTACAACAATCCAACTCTTCTATATATTTCACCAGAAGAAACATTTCCACCTTAAAGCTAACAGGCTATTGAGAGTTTTGCTTGTTAAAACAATATTTCAGTGCGTTTTTAGTGCTTTCAAAGACTAGTGTAATGAATACAAAAACAACACTACAATGCAAATATTACCGTCCAAACCTAACATCTGCAGCAGAAACCAGAGCACAGTTTTCAGTGTTCTTTTAGGGGTTCATCTTGAGGCTGCCAGGCACTGTAGCCCTCTCTACCTAGCCCTAACATCGGGGATCTGAATGCTTGATCTATGTAACTATTAGCACGTGGGCAGCTGAATAGCACATCAGCACCATCACCAAATAGTCCTGTCTAGATATAATTTTAAAGTATCCTCTTTCCAGTACAACAAAGTTACAGGTTTCTGTATTTTCTTTTTACCTTCACTCATCCTCAAAGGGCAAACCAGATGCTGCCTCCTATTATGTTCTTATGAAAATATATTTATTTTGAAGGTCATTTTTGTTAAATAAGATCCATGTACTAGTATTACATTTCAATTTTTTCCTCCAGATTTAAATATTAAAAAACCCCAATGTGATGAAAAGCATGAAAGTGAAAAGAAATGAAGGGAATAGGGACATCAGGATGTCATAGGTTAATGATTGCTGAGACAAATAACCCTGCCAGAGTACATGTTCAAAGGTATCTGCTATTAGACAGCTCTGGAGATAAATTATCAGAGTAAATATAAAATATTATGCTAAGACAAATCATAGAATCGTTTAGGTTGGAAGAGACCTTTAAGATCATCAAGTCCAACCACTAACCTAGCACTGCCAATGATGGGCTGAGGGCAAGTCGACTCTGTTCTTGGAGCACTGGCATCTTCGCAAGTGTCAGATTAACCAATTTTGGTTCCAGGAACTGAGCAAACAGACTGCAGTAGGCCTTAGGAATTTTCAAATCACACCGACGACATATTATCTTGTTTCGTATATCCCTACTTCCAAACCACTGACAACTATTTGATAATCAGCTGGCATTAAACCAAATAAAAATATATCAGGTGTGATGACAGAGGACCTCAGGCAATGCTTCTTCCTGTCATGCCATAACTACAATGCTTTTTTCCTTAAAAACACATTTCTGGTGAGATGCCCAAGACAAGAAATCAGAGAATGAAATATGCAAAGATTTCTTCCTGCTTTCTCAGGGAGGTCAATAATTAGCCAGTAAGCCATAAAAGGAGAGGAGATTAACAAAGTGAACCAATAGTAAATGAAGACTTGCTGCTATTTCCCCAATTTCTTCAGGGGTCTAATTACTCTCCTTATATTCATTTCCTAGTTATATCACAAATGGCTAACAGCAGTCATCACAACGGAATTACTGGCCAGCAGTGGTGAGACAGCCAAGTTTTAAAAGGGTCAAATAATTGGAACGGAAAGTTTCCAGTGAATGGGTGCTGATCCTCTTAAATACAGACCTCCTCGAGGTGTCTCAAGTTATTTAGTCACAAACCAAGGCATCCAAACTCATTAATCCCTTTTGAAAAAATCTTAACTGTGCTATATAAATAGCCGGTTAAACAGCACTGATGGAATCTGATACAGAATGAAAGGGTAGCTCAGCTCTTTGGAAATGGATGACAGTCTCTGCTGCTGTTTCTGCAGCAATCCTCCTCAGCTACTCCTCCTTGAGGCCACTTCAAATAGCGGTTTGCACACGAGAAATAACTTCCAGCTATCAAGTAAATGTAATAGTCTTTGTCAAGGATCAAATCCAATGTGTTGTCAGGACACTGACACAGACAGCAGGATGGCAAATGCCACAGATCGGCTGAGAGCAATTACAAATTCATTATATCTCACATGCATTGAATTTTCATTGTAGTGAGAAGAAAGAAACAACCAAATTAGTCATCTACCTTGCTCGCATCTCTGTCTCCTAGGCCTGAAATCAGACTGTAGCAGGTACCTCAAAATCTGAGATAAGCCTGTTTTGGCACATGACAATCATAAGCAAAACCAGTGTTCACCACTGCCTACAGTTTGAAGTTCCAAAATGCCAGTGATGGAAATTTGCCTTTGGAAAGATATAAAAATGTAATGGAAGATTTTTTTTCCTGGATCCTCCTTATATGAACTAAAACTGAATGATTACTTACCTGTTTTGCTTCTCCAACATGAACATGGTCCTTCTGTTTTTCTTCATACATGGTTCTCAAAACAGAGATAACCAACTCATTCTCTTTTTGATCATTTCTTGGTCTTAATTTCTTTAATTAAAAACACCACAATCACAGTAATTACACATTTGTACAACAATTAGCAAATATTTACTCTTTTCATTTTGTCACTGATCATACGTCGTTAGTGCAAGAACAAGTTTAACGTGGTTAAACCTACCGCTCCAGTCCACCAGAGGACACCAGTGTCCCAGGCATAGCAGCAACACAGCCAGGCAAACACTTGGCCTCACTTCATACTTGACAACTTACATGAAAGATAAAGGATAACTGTAGAGGTATCAAATTGCCAAAAGCAAATAAAGATTTAAAAAAAATTTTCCTAATTTGCTTTTGATTTAAAGAAAACCAAAATACTGTAGTTCTGAGTTTGCAGCACACATGAAGTACTGTCTTGCAGTTATGATACACAGCCCTTCTAGAAATCCTTCTCATCGGACATTTAATTTTGGGGAAATGACACAGGTATTTTTAAAATTAGTGCACAAGGTGAACATATTTGTCTCTGCTGCATTCTATTTAGATCTGAATTATTGTAGGAGAAAATGTTTTTAAAACAATTTATTACAGAATTTAATCCCAGAAACCTAACTTTTGAAAAGCACATGCTGTTTTAAGTCTATTGATGTAATGCAGAGGATACAGTATGAATTAACTATCACCAGGGTAGCAACATCAGTTTAATAAAAATGTCCTTAGAAAGACAGTTATCTAAAAATGCCAATCCTGGTTACAACATGGAGCTGTAAGAATGCGACAATTAAAATTTCAGGCAGTCCAACTGAAAAAATCAGCTGAAAAAGACATACTTTATCCTTGGTTTTACCAAGTTAATCATTTGCAGACTCTCACCAGAAGCAATTAAGTTTTCTGTGACTACTAGAAGCTTTAGACCATTAAAATGTGTGCAGAATACTAAAAGGCAACAGTGCTAGCTAGCTGCTGTATACTAAGAAATCGCTTAGCTCATGGAATCACTCCCACAGAGTAACTTCCAAATTTGGTACTGGATGATAAACTGCCACATGGAAACACACAAAGAGACTGAAATGACTCAAGAGAGGAAGGAAACATTATTTTTAAAAAAGTCTGAAATTTCCTAATCTTCAATAGTGTGCTAAGCCCAATGACATTTCCTACAATGTTCATCATCTGTCTTAAATTCAGCTATACTTTCCTCTGTACTACAATGGATTTCATTCAGGAGATAGAAAGTTACACTTTTTTAGTTAGACAAATATTAAAATCTAGGATAAATTTTAGGCAGGAAATTTTCTGATCTGGGAACATTACAGCAATCTGTTTTGGTCAAAGTAACAGTTGAATTTTCTCACAGTACAAGTTACTGCCCTCACTCACAAAAAAATGTGCAGTTTTATTCAGTGAGAAGTTAACATTTTCATGGAAAACAAGTAGTATTAGGGGAAGAAAAATTAGTAAAATAAACCATTTTCATAAGGCAAGTTTTTAACAGCTCTAGAAAATGAATGATTGTGAAATTAAAGCACAAAGTGATTAACAATCTATTAAATGAAGACAATGAGTAATTCACCAGAAATGAAAATAACCGGTGCTTCACACTGATGTTAGGGGGGGGGGGGGAAAAAAAAAAAAGAAAAACCCAATTGTTTTAAAATCTTGTAGGAAACAAAGAGCTTACCTTAACCTCTTCAAAAACAGAGGCCTGCTCCTGGTTATTTAGTGTTGTTAGATGCTTTTGTAGTTCTAGTTTAGTCTTAGAAGGGTGTAACCCTAGCAAGAGGAACAAAAAAGAACACATCACAGGGTCAAATTTTTCAGAATTAATCAATCACATAAATATGTACACAATTTAAGCCAAAGCTCATCAGTTATTTGTGCTGACTGATTGTACTGATTTCATAACAGGGCATTAGAAAGAACTCAAGGTTAATTTAAAGCTACTACTGAACTCATGTCTTTAAAATGAGGGACATGAACTCTACAACGAGGAGATTTACTGAGCACAGACCAGGATTATACTCTTAGCTGAAGAGTCCATTATCACACAAGATGAAATAAACCCACAATCTACTGCATTTTAGCAGACTGCTTTGTTGGTGTTTTATGCAGTACTGCTTGGATTTTGCTTGTGGTACAAATATAATTTCCACTGATTTTCTCCCATTTGTATGCCTTGGTCTCTTCTGAAAAAGAATAAATTTACTGCAAGTTAGTGAAGTTCTTCCTTTGCCTCTTGCTGAAAACATTTACTGACAGTCTAAAGCAGACTACCTTCTCACTCAGATTATTTTTTTCTCCTCTCATCCTGGATTAAATTCCCTTCCTCTATTTTCTGTGGAAAACTAGCAAATCATCGACAATATTCTGTACTTCAGTTTCTGGTCACGGCATTTCTCCTTCAGAAGCAGACAATACGATTAACCAGATGGCATGATTAAAGGCATTAAGAATCATTTGCCTTTAAGAAATTTCTCAAAAATCATACCTAGCTGAAGCCCAAAATATAGCGAAAAAGTAGTTTTGGATGTTCTCCAGTTTCATCAAATTAATACTAGATAGGTTTTAGTCCAACAAACTACTGTCACGTGATCTGACAAGCTGCTGTTGCCCTTTATTCACCCCATTCATCACTTAAATGAACAAATTTGAAATCTGCTGAAATGCAATGAGGTTGTTTTTTTTGTCTTGAACTTGTTTTCTGGGCAACAACTACAGTTCTAACTGCTGCATTTTCATGAAGGAGCATAGATCGACACCACAAACATGCAGATTAAAAGTTCACTGTTTGGTTCATGTTTAGTGGTAGCATAATGGCAGTATCTAAGTGGATTCAACAGGACAGCAGGTCACGGCTATTGCAGCATGTATTCTTGAGAAGTTCCTTGTCTACAGTCCTCTGCATTTATACGGCTAATAGAGCCAAGCTAACTGCAATTCAGTAATATTTAGACTTTTAATTAGTTTTCAAAAATTCAATTAAAATACAAGAAAGGAGCTTAATGTTTGTTAGAAAATTCTTTTTACCTTACAGATAACTTTACATTGCAGTCCTCTAAATAAAAAGACTGGCTTTCAACCCTCCATCCCAAGTCCCAAGCTCTTTTTAAGCATTCATTCCTTTAGAGTTTCATATGTAAGATTGTCCCTCAATAAAACTGGGAGAAAAAATACCTAACCAGAATGTTCTTTAAACCTCACCTTCTATCTTTTCACAGAGTTTATGCAAGCTTTGCATAGGACATCCTTCACAGAGCTGGGGTTGTGCCCTGGAAGTTTGTTGCACAGCAGCTGCGGTGAAAGCCTGTTTCAATGTCATCATGATTTCATCAACCTGAAAAGAACAGAGCGCAAAATAACAGAATTTCACTATTCCACTGAGTTTCTGTTTTCCTTAACACAAACACAACAGTCTTTTAGAATGATACTGCTACTTGTTTGGGAATGTGCTTATGATTAAAAAGAAAAGCGTGCCATTTCTGCACGTAAACACACAACCAAGACAAAACTCATTGTGCAGTCATATCTCTTCCAGGCCACCCAATTTTATTACTGTGGTCTAATACAAGATCCTACCTCTATCTAGAAACCTTTTCTTGTCTGTCATAAAAAAAAGTTTACTGCAGTTGTGACGCACTGGCCTGACAGAAGTGTAGTCCTGATTTTTTAAACAGGTATACTATGAAAAAACGCTCTTCCAAAAAAAAGAGGCATACAGTCTAACTTAGTTTGTGCAATGAAAGGATAAAGGGGACTAACTTCTGCTTTCAAAACAGATGAAAAGTTCCTTTGCAGAGTGCTACATTAACTACATTTTTGAAATAATTCTATTTCTGACTGGAGCAGGATTTGAAGACATTCAGCAAAATACAGAGCATGGAGCAATAGAAATTGACTTTTAGGGCCTAATATTCTATTAGGCTCTTATTTTCTCTCACTTACCAGTGCTTCATCTGTACACTGAAACACGTAGCAAACAAAGTGGAAGCCTCCATTTTCTGAAGACTCTCTGCAGATGAACCCAAAGTGATCCACATGTCTAATTCCCTAGCACAAAAACAACAGTAATGAAGCAGTCATATTTACTTTCAATGTTTTATACCTTTTTTTTTCCAGTAACAAAAAGCACAAAAGGCCCAACAGCATTACAGATAGGTCACATATCTCTGTTCAGCTACATTAAAGTCATCTGGCCATTAAAAATCTATTCTGTTATAGAACCTATTACTTCATGAATCTCTAAATTTCACTTAAGTCAGATGTTGTTTGATGGTTTTGTTTGGGTTTTTTTTAATGACTGAATTATAATAGATCCATTGGAAAACATTTACAGGGATGAAGAAATACTATTCAAGATGTGTTTTACTCAATATTGGAAACAGCAGGGAAAAAAGCTCACTCTGTTTTTGTTCCCTTTTGCTTAAGTGGTCAACAATTGCTTTACATTTGTAAGAGCAAATCAAAGCAATAGTGAAAAATTGATAAACATTTTGTTTTTCATCTAAAGAAAAGCTTGGCTATTTAAAAAATTAAAATGGTTAAATGTATTGCTTAAAGATCATTCGTGGAAGCATTTATATCTCCTAAAAGGTATGCAAAGTCAGGCACAATCTACCTGCAACAGTAGATAAACAGTACATTCTGGTAAAATGCTAAGAAGGTTTTTTAATTGCTGGGAATTCTTTTCTTTTACAAAAAGAATTTCAGATGAGTAGAGTTAGGTGACCCCAGTGCATGTCTCCTCAGTGTACCATTCTTGGTCAAAAAAACCCCAAAATTATGATGATGTACAGTGGTAGAGCCTGTGTATAGAAATTCAATTACACTCAGCACCATTTTACTACCCTTTAGCTGTCCTGGCACAACAATATTAAAGTCGCATAAAGAGAGGCAATAAACTGTTGCATCAAAAATCATAATGGTGAATCACAGTAAATCAGAATTGTCAGTGAAATTTAAACAATGTGAAGATGCCAAGCAGGACTTTTTTTGTTGGTCTGTTTTTTTTTTTTTTTTGCTTTTCCTTATTAACACAGCAAGAATCACTGAATATTCTCTTCGTCTTTTTATCATGAAGAAAACATTAAAAAAAGCATTTAAAAAGCATAAAAAGTGAATACTTCTATAAAACAGAATGGTCAGGTGTCCCAAAAAAAAGAACATGTTACAGCATCAGATATCCTTAAGCAATCCAAACAATGTTGTTTTATAGTTTGAAATACTAACAATAATCCTTCAGAGCATGCTAGCTGAATGAAAGAAAATAATTTAACGTATATGGAGATAGCTGGATTGTTGGAGTGTGACAATTACTCATAGATAATGAAGGCTTTATTACACTAACAGCAGGCACTAATACACCATGAGAACAGAAAGATCAGAAGGACACTCAAATGATGTAAAGCCTGCAGCTTCTCCAACTTTAGCTCTATTAGATGTCCACGGCTAAGCATTTTAGGAGGCAGCTACATGATAAAGCAAGAACAGGCTGATGCAACTCACAGACTCTCTCCCTCCATCATCAACATCAGAGATGTGCACAGAACGTGCTGAGCCCCCTCAATAAGCCCTCTGCCCACGTTTCTTCTTCTGAAAGTCCATTTCTTCTCCTGACAACCCAACTGTTATGGTGGAGGAAGCCCAGCTGGGATCACAGCCCTGTTCACAAAAGTGCAAGGTACCAGGAGCTGGGAAACACTCTTAGCTGTTTCAGATTAGCCAAGTCAGATACTGCCTCAGGACCACATACTTCTTTCTGCCATTATAATATCTCAATGACGGATTGGGTATTCTGGAAATTAAGTACTGATTCTGATCTCCCTTATAATTTAAAAAAGATTATTGACATTCTCGTATGATCAAGATAAGTCCATAAGATCATTCTGTCACATCTTCTGAAATGTGCATACATGGGGGAAAAGGCCTCTGTATCCCGATACTGGTATTTGCCCAACTGACATAACATCTGCCTAGCAACATATTCTTCAGACAGGAGGGGAGAATTCAATGAGAATCTCACTTCTGCTCTGAGGAGCACAACTGTCTGCTGACCTTCAGGGCAAGTCACAAAGTCTACCTAACTAGCTCCTGCCTAAGAGATGGCCTAAGGGAACGTAGGGACAAAGATTTTTCTGTGATCCAGGAGTTCTCTTCAAAGCTCTTGATCTGACAGCATGCAAACTACTTGTGTTTACTCTGAAATTTTCAGAATAGCTACCTGTATGTTCAGTGATGAAAACTATCCTCATCAAATTAGAAACCAAAGTCATTTATGAAAAAAAAATTTCCAAAAAAGCTAGAAGCAAATAACAGCAAATCACATTCCCAATATTTAAAAATGGGTAAATAAACCTACTGGGAGAAAAAAAAAAGTTTTGCCCCAGTATCATTAAGACCAGAGCCTGTGGTGCACTGAATAGACCCGCACTATGCAAGTAAGCCAAGTGCAAAATAGTTCCTAGTGCAAGAAAGAGTGGCAAAATTCACATTCTGGTATACTAGGTCTTATTCCCACCCAAGCCCCACAGTACAAACAAGCAGTGCACTGGTTTAATTCAAGGTGAATTTTTAGGTAAATTAGCAGGAACATCCATTCCTTAATAAATGTAAGCTTATTTATATAATTATAGTTCAGGTTAACTTCTCAGAGATTTAAACTAAAATGATCTATAACAGGTTTCAAAGGAATTAAGTGTTCTCTAAGGACTCTACCCTAGTTTAATGAATTAAATTCAATTTCCCTATTCACTTAAACTGAATCAAATCTGGTACACAGACAAACTAAATACAAATCATGCCTTGCAGGACAGAAC